CTTCACCTCTTTTATCGGTTTTGACTATTTTGAAAGTAGTCTTCATTGTATAATGCTTTCTAGAGATAATTGAATCCAAGAAGGGGATATCGATCACTGTAGCGTCATTTCTATATGTCACGATATAACGTCATCAATCAATGTTATGGACTCGGACTTTTGAAAGTACTAAATCCTCCATGTTTCATGGATCCTTTATATAGATTACGTCTATTGTTATAGCTTTAACAGCGAGTTTGAAAGGGCAAGAGCCACAAAAGCTCCTCTCCCCACTATCTCGCACTCCGTGTTCAACAAGGTCAAAAAATAGTCGGGTGGGAAAAGAATTAACAAAATAACCATTTCTCGTCCAACTTATCCTAGAAAGTTGGCAGTAAAACAAATTTGGTATCTTATTGCGGCACCCCGTACTGGATGGCACCAGAAATATTCTGGGGTAAAGGCTATGGACGGAAAGTAGATATTTGGTAGGTTTCATTCACAAGCAATGCTTTTCCTCTGATTTTTTTTTTTACAATGAATTAAAAAGGCACAATCTTAGGTGGAGACTAAAGAACGAATATGCATGTTCAGACACCAATATCGGACTTGGACCCTTGCACACAATCAAACCGAAGCAGGACTTTCTGGCAACTGCTTCTGAAGTTGCCTGAGTGTGAGGCACTCAGTCACCGCTGACCGAAAACGGACTGTCTCAGGGAACGTAAATGGTGTACTTTTGTGCGATCTCGTATGATGAGTTCACTTGTAAACTTTTATCGTTCTAATGTGTGTTAAAGTTACTTATTTATTTGCATGAGTCAATGGGTTAAGGCTTCTTTTTGTAGGCCCGCAGTAATATAAAGTTATAAGATTCGCCAGGTTTTGCCAAAGTGGTATTCCTTAACTTCAGAATGTGTAACGGTTTTTTTGTTTTTCTCAGTTTTGTCTATTATTTGTTTCTTTGTTTGTTTGTTTGTTTGTTATTTAAGGAGCCTCGGTTGCACAGTTGTCGAAATGTTAACAGGAAAGCCTCCTCTTGGTCATCTTGAGTCAGCGGCGGCCATGTTTAGGATTGGTTCCAAACCCATCGAGCCCACGCTGCCAGAGAATGTATCATTAGATGCAAACGAGTTTGTTAAGGCTGCTTTGACCTGGTTAGTACTATTTAAAAAATAGCTGAAACGCTACCCGCGCTCTGATTGGTCAAAAACCTATCGTTTATTGCACCGGTAACCACATGGTTTCCGACACAAACACAATTTGTAAGGAAAAACAGGACCAGAATTTGGTCGCGATACAAGCTTAAGTTTAATGCTTGATTTTCCATGGACAAACTTTTACGACGATTCCGTTTACTCTTGAGTTTAGGAGAAAGCTTTTAGCTCTTTCAGTGCTTACTACGGCCGTCTTAGGAGGACTCAGTTCTGACTAAAGCTCGGCTAGACTGATCAATTTGGTTTGTTAAGAAAGCAGGGAAAAGATTTCTTTTGAGTTGATATTGAGTTTAATAACCAGTAGTTTTAAGTTTAAATTCAATGCATGCTTCCATAACACGAGAAAAAAATTTGGTTTTCATTAAGCTTTCAAGAAATAGTTTTCATTCAGCAAAATACAGAGAAATACAGACTTCATAGCCTCCAACATAACTAAATAAATTCTGAATAAATTTCAAAAAAAGCGTTTTCAGAACTAACCTTTTTAATCCATTCGACAAACCTTTTTAAAGTCCTCCTTGTATCACAACGCCAAGCGCATGAAGTTTGTACTACTTGCAAACTTTTCAGATAGTTTTCCTTTCGTGATGACAGGTTCCTACTGATTCTCTGTCTTTTAGCGATAACCTTTCCTTTCCTTTCCTAAAACATTGATAGCGCTAAATGTTTTCGTCGCTTTGCTCGGCGGATTTTTTGTCGGACGCTGAGCCTGATCTTTCATTCTTTCACATTTACCCATAATTCTTAGCGCTCGAAAACTTTAACAATGCTCATAAAAACGTACAGAAAAGTTCTCAATCTTCGAAGCTAGCACAGACAATGTTGTTAGCGCAGGACAAGTATCCCAAAACAATATGGCTTTCCTGCTACTTTATAGGCTGTGTAAGGTATTGTGCTAAATAAAAATCTACAGCCGCCATCTTTTATTCCTATGGTGGATTGGTTTGCCGCGCATCTCATGAATGTGTTGAGAATAAACAACTTGATCACGAAAGTACAATAAATTTTATTCTCTTTGACAAACATTTTCCATACTGAGTTATTTCATAAAAGGTGGTGTTTGTCGAAGGACATTGCTGCGACGCAGTGAAAGGCAGTATTAATAGATTTTGGAAAGTAGAAAGTAGGATTAAAAAAAATCACATCTAATTCGTTTTGTTGTTATTGTAGGAAACCTGACGAGCGACCTTGGTCCGATGAGTTGCAGCGCTACGAGTTCGTTTCCAAAGGTATAGCCGCAGAAATCGACAGAACTGTTTTTTAACCTTTTTTCCAGTTTACCATCAAACTATTTTATAGTTCATATATAATCTATAGCGGCCATTGTAAATAAAAACCAACAGAGGTTACTGGAATATCCGTTCAGCGTATGGTGCGTGTTTTCATTAATCAGTCAACTTAAAAAATTCTCGAATCTGATTCATTAAGAGTACCTTAAATTCCAGTTGATTCAGTAAAATCTGAAATTCATTGCAGCGAGTGAAATTCAGTGCAGTTTTAAGGTTGCCATGGCACCCAACCTTCCAACCAACCAACCAACCAATCTTTTACCAACCTTCTTTCACTCTGATCGATGTGGACATTACACCAGTTTTGAAAAAAGATTGAAGTTTGGTTGAATGTGTTTTTTAAGGTAATCGATATCTCCATGGAAACGATAAACCAAATATAAAAATCGGTAAAACATGGCTCCTGTACGAACCAGATCTGTTATAGGAAATCTGATGCCAATTTTTGAAATTCCGATGAATGGCAAGGGGAAGGTGCAAGAATAAAGATATTCTGTACGTTTGATTTCGAATAAATTGCGAAAACATTTCAAACTATGCTTTTTGCTTAAGGAAATTAAATGGACTGAAAGAAGAACGCTATTTCGATGAAATTGCTTCAAAATACACCAAAATGTGTCTTGAAGTTATGTTTTGAAGCCATGAAGTTTTGTTGGTTTGTATTTTCTTGATCTCGAGAACCAGACTTTTTTATAACATCTCGTCCATAATAAATTTAGAAAAATTTTCGATTTTAACCGCTTTTTCGAAAATCTAAGAAACGGCTCGATATATTTTTAAAACGTTAACCATGTATGCCTGATGATGTTAACAATTTTATTTCAAAGTTTCATTAGCATTGATACAATGGAACTTGTTAAGAACATCTTAAGAACATCACATTTCCAAGGGTCAACTATCACACCGATAGTTCCTCGACAGAAACATTCTATTGTTTAAATAGAACGCCCACGGGCAACTATCAGACGATAGTGCCGCTCAGCGAAGTGACTAATGAAATGCAGCCTTCCCCTCATTTTTTTTTTTTAGATAAAGATTTCAAAAGATCAACACCCCTTTTAGGATTTCAGTGAGAAGATATCACGAAGAAGTAATTTTGTTGGCCGCAAACTGCATGTCGTAGAGACGAACGCCGCAAACTAAAAGCTTACCTGATTTTTCTACACTGCATCATTCAGGTAGCTCGATCGGATTTTTGAGTAACGATACTGTTCAACGTTGAGCCACTGGAGCAGCACCATAAACAATCTGACAGAAATTCCAAGGGCCAAGTCTAAAACAAAGTCAGCGAGTGTTTTTTAATTCCCGCCCAATTATGTAATTTTAGGGGCAATTTTTTGTAAAAAGTAAAATGACATCACACACCAGTTGATATTCAAGCCAATGTATCTTAAAGTAAAACGGAGCAATTTTTCTGAGATTTTCACTCCAGGTAATCAGATGTTATAAGATTCATTTAAGATCAGAACACCATTTAGTCAGGTTTTGTGGACATAGCTTGCAATAACATTTTAAAACAGCTCCGTTTTTGTTGTATTTTGACACCTTAAAACTTCACTCGCAATTTTCTCGAAAACGTTGTCATAGATTTTTTAAAATTTTGCCATCGTTAAGAAAACTGTGTCAAGTCCGAGATCCCGAAGTCATATTTCGAAAATAATCCCTGATGGCAAGTTATTCGGTCTCATGTAAAATAAGGTATGGCGTCATTTGGTTGCTATGGTAACTCAGATCCTGGTGAAATGTATCTCATTTGAAACTTTCATCTATCTCTAGTACACCAGTAACGTTTGATTTTCTGTTAGCTTGATAATGGTGCTGCTCTAATGGCTCAAAGTTGAAAGGTATCGTTACTCAAAAATCCGATCGAGCCACCTTAAAGTAAATTGAACAATTCGAACTGGGAGTACTTAAAAATGTTCATTTTCATTTTTATGACACAATGTTAGTGTGATCTGGTGAATTTCAAATCACAGTCCGGGCTGAAATGAAATGAAAATGATACCTAAGTGTCGGATGTTTTAACAATCAATCAATCTATCAATCGGTCAAAATCACCAGCTGTTTTTCGGGTTATGATATCAATGGACGGCATTAGCAACTCAAACGTCTTTCTATGAAGCAAGAGACCGAGAGAAGCTGGCTAAAATTCAAGGTAACTTTCAGGACACTTGTTCTGAACCCTTCCCACGTACGTGCACTCTGTGATGCGAAAACCAAGTTGATGCAATTTGCATGGGCATTTTTCCGAGTGATAAGTGGCCTGAACTTATTTTTTTTTGCACGTTGGGTAAATAGTTTTAATTGCGCTTTTTGGCGGGAAAGATTTAACTGATTTCTTTGATTGTTGGCGTCCGAAATAAAGACCGTTTAAATTTTAAGAGGATCTTTTTTTATTTTTCTGTTGCATTTCATCATATTTTTAAAACTTCACTTTTAAAAAAATCTACTCATTATTTTGGATTTGGACGACAGTTTTGTCGTCCCATATCTCTACCTTTGTACCTGCAAACTTCAAGGCAAGAGATTTTCTGGATTGAGAAATAGAAAACACGTCAGACGAGTATATAAAAAAGTTAGTTTTAACTTATTGGCGGTAGAAAATATTCCACTTCTTATTGAGCCGAAAGTGTTTGTCATAGGTTTCTGATTACTTACTTTCTTTCAATAAAACTTTGGGTAACTTTGACCTTTCAGATGGCGGATAGTCTGGTTACACTCTGGTTACACGCTATTTTCACGTGAGCTACCTCAATTACATTAGCGTGGTATTTTCAAAGTGAGTTCAATCAGCATTTTTGTGCAGCGAGTTATACGATCATGATTGCCACGAAACTTGCAGATACAAAACTTGATAGCTTTGAGGCTTATTTGATAAAGTAAGGGGGAACATTCTGATCGGATTTCAAAATTATAGGTTGCTTTTGTAAAAAAGAGGTTTTGAAATACTGATGATATCTCGACCGCTTTTACTCTTAAAACAAAAATAATGAAATGAGATTTCCTTCCCGCAAAATCAAACATTCTAAGGGTGCTAAAGATTAAATTATGAAATATTTCCTGCTAAAGTTCATGACTTAAAATGAAACCGGCAACGTGCAAATAGCTAGGCTCAGGTCACGTTAACTTAACGTTTCTGTCGATATTTCATTGGTCAATTAACTTTCTAAACTTCTTTAGCACTGCCAACCTCTTTCAGTCTTGGAGAATGTATTGGAACAGGAGCTTTTGGCCAGGTACAGCTATATCTTTCTGTTATCCTTAAATTAAACTAAAATTTGCGAATAGGAACGCCCATAGAATCATGAAACTTAAAATATTACGTTACCCTTTACTCATCAGTATTAAGAGCCCAGGATGAATGAATGACAGAAGTAAAACAAGGCGGAACTACTCCAAGGTTTCTTACCCAAAGTACAAC